ACGGGAAGATGAAATAAAAAAATATCAACAAGTTTACAAAAAAACCCTGGCACGTGCTGTTAAACAGAAAAATGAACTTCGAAAGTTGAAGCGCAAGATTAATACAATGACACGTGAAAATGCAGAATACATTAAGGATCTAGAAAGTTTACAATTGTTACAGAAAGTCTTTAATAAGTAATAGCCCACACATTATTTAGAAATTAATTTTCACTCATTATTGTATTTCCAGTGATCAAATTGAAGCCCTACGGAGTTCTTCCACAAGATTTAGAAGGTGGTCTAATGCTACTGTAAGAAAGTCTCTTAAGTTAAGATTTGTGTGTAGTACGTCAGGGTATGAAGAGCTTCTAAAACAACATATACCTTTACCATCCTTACGAACCCTTCGAAGAAGATTAGAAGACATTCATTTTCAACCTGGCACACTTCATGAGGTTTTTGATTTCTTAAAATTTAAAGTTCAAAATTTCAAAAGCCCTCATGAAAAAGATTGCGTAATTTTAATGGACGAGATGGCAATAACACCTTCAAAGACATATGACCCAGCACTTAAGGTTTATTTGGGTAATATCAATTTACCTAGCCATTCAAGTGATGAAATGGCAAATCATGCATTAGTAATTATGTTAGGTGGAGTTACCATGCGATGGAAGCAAACAGTTGCGTATTTTTTCACTGGCAGTTCAGTAGATGGTAGTATTTTCAAAGATATTTTGTTTGAGATCATACAAAAAACAGAAAAATTGGGATTAAATGTTGTTGCCATAACATCAGATATGGGTGCAGCAAATCAGGCGTTTTGGAGGGTGTGTGGTGTTGCAGCAGGTCGCTATGTCGCTAACGTAAATTACATAACCAATCCTACAGATAGCAAAAAACGAATATATATATTGGCTGATGTGCCACATCTTTTTAAGAATATAAAAAATATGTTGGTGACCAATCGCACAATTGAAATAACTGCAGATGTTCAAATGAAATTTAATTTGCCAACAAATATAATTAACATAAAACATATTGAAGATGTCGTCCAATACCAAAACAAACTTCAGTTTAAATTAGCACCTAAACTGTCCGAAGAAGACTTTATCCCAAGTCATTTTCAAAAAATGAGAGTTAAAAAATCCACCAATGTTGTAAGCCATGATGTGTCGAGTGCGCTAAAATTTTTGAGTACACAGTTGCAAAAACCTGAGTACATAACAACTGCCTGGTTTCTAGATTTGGTTGAAAACTGGTTTTCATTAATGACTTCTCGCCATCCAACACTGGCTTTAAGTAAAAAGAATGAAGTGTCTTATGAAAATGCAATTACTCATTTAAAAAATGTAATGACCGTTTTTGAAAGCATATATGTTGGAAAAAAGGGAACTTGGAAACCTAGCCAAAGTGGTCTACTAATTTCGACGAAGTCAATTTTAGATATTCAAGAGGACTTCTTCACAAATAAAAATTATATTTTCATTTTAACATCTAGATTTACTCAAGACTGTTTGGAGAATCTTTTTTCTGTTATTCGAGCTAAGCAAGTCATCCCCAATGCTCTTCAGTTCAAAAATCATTTAAAATTAATAAGTGTTGCCCAGTACTTAAAAGAAGTATCAAAAAGTAGTTATGAAAGTGATGATCG